CCCCCCAGAACCACGGGGGGATCAGGGTGATCAAGAGGGATAGGATGATGGCATGCAGGACGAGGGAGAATGAGGAACATGATGATGAGGGTAGACACTGGGGACTAGATAACGAATGAGATGGAGATGATGTGTGGAGGAGGTATGAAGAGGATGCCAGTTTTGTGCTGCCTCCAAAAAAACACTAGTTTGTCAGTTGAGGCGGTCATCGTGTCCGATCTCCAACGGTAGATCGGACGCTCGTGCCGATCGCTCGAATTGCATGGCACTCCGTCGCGTCGAATCGCGGCCCCGCTAGCCGAGGTGCAGGGAACTGGCGCTCGACCCCCTCAAGAAGAGCTCCGCCAAATTCATCAAGGCAGAGGTTCTGAAGGGCAAGTACATCGAGTCTGACCATCCGACCGTTCCAGGCGACAAGATGTATGAGAAGGTCAATCTCGTCTCCACGGAGAATATCGCTCGCAGACGGACCGTCGAGTTGAAGCAGGGCAAGGACGCCGACGAAGCCGACGTGAAGCGCCTGAAGATGATGACGGCGCTGCCGCTGAACGACAAGTCTCGGCGCGCGAGTGCAATGCAGGAGCTGGGGACCATGATGGGGACCACCAAGAAAAAGAACCTCGCGATCAAGGCGAAACCTGTCTCTGATGATGATGGAGAGGCTGAGGCTGCCGAGGGAGACGACGAGGACGAGGGCCAGGAACAGGAAGAGTCAGAGGAAGAATGTCCCGAAGATCCAGATGATGAGGACGACGATCCAGAGGTGGTGCCAGGCAAGGGAGGAGATCTGAAGAAGCTCCAGAAGCTCGCGGCGATGCTCTCTGGTAAAGTTCAGCAGAACATCACTGAGATCATGAAGGCTCTGGTGTCCGTGGAGAAGGGGAAAGGCAAGTTCAAGAAGTCCATCAAGGACTGTGGCTTGCAAACGTCGGCCACGAAAGGCGATGACGACGACAGCGGCGGCGATATATATATATATATACACATATGTAATGTGATATGATAATGTAATAGTATGACATGTGATATACATATAATAGTAATGTGATATAATTATAATGTGACGTATCATATATAATGATACAATGTAGTGATGTAGTGTGTCATTATTCTGGATATGTATATATACGTGTATTGGGGTGGTTGGTACAGCATGTGATATGATGCAGGGATGGGGGGCAGCGGGCCGCCTCCTGGAATCGTCTTGTCGGAACTCCTGGCGGCGCGGCGGAGGACAGTTTTCCTGTAGTGGGCCGCATCACCCAGTTAAGTTTTTTGTCTCGATTTTTCGGGGGGTGGATTGGGTTCCCCGAACTGGGCCAATTGCGGCCCCGATGATGACCCCCCCATCCCGAGGAGAACCTCCAGAAGCAGAAGCGCACCATGGACAAGCTCTTGAAAACGCTGCAGCAGGCCGCCGTGGGTGAGAACTGCAAGCTGCTGGCCAAGATCACGGCTCAGGCTACCTCTGAGCTGAAGGACACAACCTCCTTTCCCTTGTCCCTCCCTCCTTCTCCCCCCTCCCCCTCCCACATCCCTCCCATCTCTCACCGTTTCTCCCAATCCCGCCTCCCTCCTTCCGTGCTCCTTTCCGCCTTTCTTCCCTCTCTCCCCATCCATGTGTCTATCACTCTCCTTCTTCTTCCTCCCTTCTCACCCCTTTCCGCCCTCCTCATCACTCTCCTCCTCCATCTGTATCCTTATCCTCCACGCATCCTCCATCATCATCCTCTCGTTCCTCCCCGTCGCCCACGCCTCATCCATCCTCCATCCTCCACACCTCCTCCATCCTCCATCCTCATCCTCTCCTTCCTCCACACCTCCTCCATCCTCCCTCAGCACCTCCTCCATCCTCCACACCTCCTCTCCTTCCTCCTCTCCTCCTCCAATCCACGCGCCAGGAGATGCCCAAGCTGTTGGCGTCCGCCAAGGCGGCTTGAGGCATGCTGCGCACGTTCGGCCCCCCGACCCTGCCGCACGCCGTGTGGCGCGCCACCTTCGGACGGGGAAAAACGCAGGTCTTTGGTGGAAACTTTCGGTGGCTGGAGTTAACGTGTTTCGGAGGCCCTGGCGGGGCCCTGGGACCCTTCGGAGCCCTGAGGCCCTTCAGGGCACTGGGGCCCTTCGGGGCCCTGGTGCCCTTCTGGCCCCTGGTTCCCGTTGGGGCCCTGGGCCCGTCGGGGCCCTGGGGCACCGTTCCCCAAATTCTCGTGTAATTTCCTAAAATTCTAGTGTTCCGCAGTCCGTCCCCTCACTTTCCTCCCCCCCTTCCCTCCTTCCTCGCCCCCTTCCCCCTCCCCTCCCCTCCCCTTTCCCCCCCCTTCGCTCCCCCGCCCCCCCCCCCCCCCCCCCCCCCCCCCCCCCCCTCACTCATTCCCTCCCCCCTGAAACGGCCCAGCAATTATGCGGATGGAGAGGTGGTCGTCGAAAATATGCTCTCGCCTCAGCGCCCGCACATTCGTCTTGGACGTTTCCGAAATGCGCGCGGATGGATGGATGGACGGGTGGTCGTCGAACATGTGCTCTCGCCTCGCCCCCCGCACGTTCGTATTGGGCGTGTCCGAAAGGTGCGCGGATGGAGGGCGATTTCAAAAAATGCGCCCTCGCCTCAGTGCCGCGCACGTTCGTCTCGATCGCCCCCTGCAGTTACAAGGATGGAGGGGCGTTGATGTTCAACGCGTGGCCCTCTCGAACAACTGGGTTGATCGTCAGCCACTCGTGGCTCGAGGGCGCCATGGCGGAGCCCCCTGCCAAGCAACGTAGATTGGGCGTGCGCAAGCGCATTGACGCCAGTCATGCCCCCTCGACACAGTCGAACCTCATGGAGGTATTATTCGAAGAAGTGGGTCTCGGCTTGATGTCTGCGCCCACTGCAGTAAAAATAGCCAACGCCGCCGCGGTCGACGGCCTCCAGCACGCCGATGTTCAAGCGGCGGCTCGAGCAGGGTGCGGGGGCTTGTATCCAGGCAATTGCTGGAGGGACATGTTGAACAACTTCCACTCCCCCGTGACCGATCGCGTGATTCCTCCTCCACATACCGTCCAGGTGCATTTGCGCGCCCAATCGATCCGAGTCTTGAATGGAGGGGGGAGAACTGGAATACGCAGCCCAGCTGGGCTCGATCAGCTCAGGTTAAAAACCACGGGGTGGAAGGGGGATGGGGGTCGAGAGATGAGCGCGGATCGACCGAGTCGCCAGGTGCACCTCAAGAGGAGCGACGAGACTGGCAACGACGTGACCGCGCTGGCGCCGCACCCCGTGATGTACCCCCACCAGCTGATCGGCGCCCTGGCCCAGGAGGAGCCTAACTTGTTCCGCGAGATTGCTGGCCTCAACGTCCGCGAGGACACGCCACCATATACGCTCAATTAACGTTGATTACGGTGGGGGCGTTGGTTAAGGATTCCTGGAGGATTCCTTATCTCAGACCCTGTAGGATTCCTTATCCGATGAGGGCGGCGGGGGTACCCACGGCCCATCCACAGCTGGAGCTCCGCCAGCTGCCAGACCATGGATACATTATCAAATGTTTCCTTATCAAATGCCTCCACCGTAACGTTGATTAACGTGTGCGTTAACGTGGGCATTTGAGTTTGATTAACGGTTGACTATCGTTGACTAGCCAATACATTGAAGCTTGCATTAACGCGGCTTCAACGTTTGATTAACGTTAACGTGTTGACGGATTAACGTGTGCATTAACAATTAATTAACGTTATTGCAGTGTTAATGCATATTGCCTTAACGTTTGATTAATCTTAGTGTATGTTAAATGCATGCCTCATATCCCTTAGCAGGAGTTCTGGGGCAAGCAGCTGATGGACAATCCGAAGTTCGACAGGCATCCGATGCTCGACCTCATGGACTGGATACGTCGAAGCCGTCGCTCTGCCGCCAGACCCCCTGGCTTGCTCGCTGGCCCCGCTCCCACCATCAGCCGCGCTCCTGGCGCCGCTGGTGTTCTTCTGGTGGCGGAGGCGTTTCTTATTGGCCCTGCGCGGGGGCGTCTCGTCGTCACGGCTGGACCCGCCTCGAAAACAGCACATTTCTCCCTCACCGTTTTTGGTGAGGGGGGAGGGCGGATGGTGTTCTTCTTGGGCCTATGAAGGGGGCGTCTCGTCGCCACGGCTGGGTCCGCCTCGAAAGCCACCCTCTCCCCCGCGCCTTTTGTTGCTGGGGGGGGCAACGGTGTTTTTCTTGGGCGTATGGCGGGCCTCTCGTCGCCACGGCTGGGTCCCCCTCGAAAGCCACCCCCTCCCCCATCTCTGGTTTTGTTTGGGAGTGGGGCTGATGATATCTTCTTCTTGTGCCTATGGGGGGCCTCTCGTCGCCACTGCTGGGTCCGCCTCGAAAGTCAGCCCTCCCACGTGTTTTGAGGCGGGGGCGCAGGCGTGTCTTCTTGGGCCCACGGGGAGGGCCTCTCGTCGCCACGGCTGGACGGTGCTCGCCCTTCCGAGCCAGCGGAAGGAACGAGCGATCCCATTGGTCGTGTGGGGCGACGCCGCTGCCAAACACAGCAAGGCCGACTCCATATACCTCATCTCTTGGTCCTTCAAGACAGGCCCGCGGCCTCGCGATCCACTTCCGACGTCGCTGGGATGGGGGCGGTGGGAGGGGGGATGAGGGGTGGCAGCGGGCGCCCCCGAGCCCGCCCACCCCCCCTTCCCTTCCCCCGCCCAGCGGCGTTGAAATCGGATCGCGCGAAAGAGGGGCAGTGTTTAGCGGGGCCCTCGGAGCCCTCGGGGCCCTCCACCTCTCCCTCATCCCCTCCATCCCACTTCCTCCGCCTTCCCCATCCCCCATATATCCCCCTCCTCCCCCTTCCACCCCCTTCCTCCCCTTTTACCTTGCCCTCCCACCCTCCCCAATTCCTCCCGCACCTTCCTCCATCTCCACCTCCTTTGACAGTTCATCCCGCTCCGTTTCGCAGTAGTGTCCTGTGGACGCGGTGCGTGGTTTCCCCAGCGCAGGTGGAAAGTTGGCCTCGCGGTTCTTGCAGAACCCAGTGTTCACCGCGATTCCCAAAGCGGCTTGCGTCAAGGACAAATATCACAACACCTTAACGGAGCTCTGGGATCACTTTGCGAAATCGTTGCAGTTTTTGTATTGGAATTCGCACCCGCTCTTCGACACGGCATTCCTACCTTGGCCCGAGAACTCGTTCGGTCGTTCCATGGTCGGCCAAGCAATACTGCCTGGCTCGCAATTTTGTGTCGTTTGGGATATCACAGGCGACCTTGACCACCATGTGAATGTGCTTGGTCTCCCCCACTGGTCGAAGCCATACCCGTGTTGGATGTGCACAGGCAATGAGGCTCAGTGCCACACGTTTGTGCCAGATGCGCCTTGGCGAGATTTGCGGGTGTCACCGAGTATGTCCCGCGACTTGAACAGGCCGCACCCGATATTCGCCGAGCTCAAAGAGCAGGGCGTGTCGGACCAGGTGTTTTTTTCTGTAGATAAATAACCCCCTCCTCCTCCGTCGCCCGCCCCTGGCCCATCCGCCCCCCCTGGCCCCATCTGGCGGGCGCGGTCCCGCGCTGCGCTCGGGCGCGGTCTGCCAGCTGGCGCCTGGCGAGCAGCGTGGCTGGGGGGTGCGGGGGCGGGGGGCAGCGGCGGCAGAGGAAAGCTAGGGGGGGGCTGGGGGAGGGAGGGAGGAGGAGGAGGAGGAGGAGGAGGAGGGGATAGGGGGAGGGAGGAGGAGAGGATGAGGGAGGAGGAGGAGGAGGAGGATGAGGAGGAGGAGGAGGGAGGAGGAGAAAGGAGGAGGAGGAGGGAGGAGGAGGGAGGAGATGGGAAGGGTGAGGGAGAGTGGGAGGGGAGAGGAGGGGAGGGGGAGGAGGGGGAGGGAGGGGGAGGGGGAGGGGGAGGGGGAGGACGAGGCTGCGGAGGAGGAGGAGGGACAACACGAAACCTCAGTTCGTGCAGATCGGATTCATGCACACGATTGATTTGGGCCTTTTGCTTTACATGCACGGGGGCACCATGTGGGTAATGGTTCGCGACAACACATACATCAAGAAGGGGAACCAGGCGCAGCGATGCGCACATCTGTGGGACCTGATCAAAAAAGAGTACAAGGACGATGGGTAGAAAACACAATTACATTACGATGAACAGCATTACAAGGATTGCAGCGCGTTGCATTGCATTTGCATTGCATTGCATTACATCACATTGCATGCATTACATTGCATTGCATTGCATTGGCTTGCATTGCATTGCATTACATTGCATTGCATTCCATTACGTTTCTAATTCAGAATCACCGCTGTTTCCATTTGAGTATTTCGCAGGATTTGGGCGTGGACCGCCGCCTTCCAACTTTGAAGCTGGCTATGTTCAAGCCCAAGTCGTTGGCCGAGTTCCCTGCGCTCAAGGCGAAGGCGGCAGTGTCTAGGTCCCTCGTGAAAGTCATGCTGACCATAACCAAGCGAGTGCTCCCAGAGAACTCCCAGATCGTCCAGGCCTACAGGCTTATGAACGAGTTCCTTACGAAATGTCAAAAGGTTGATATTGTCCCCAGCCCCCTGCGGGCCCGTATTCTAAGCGAGGCGATGTCTACGTTTTTGACTACCTACCTGGCCGTGGCGACCACCGAAGCTAACAAGGGTCGCCGCACGTACAACATGACGATAAAATTCCACCACGCCGACCACATGGGCGACAGAGTGAGATTCGAAACACCGACCTACACGACCGAATACGAATTCGAGGACATGGCAGGGAGGGTCGCCCGTGTGAGCAGCTCGTGCACGCGTAGTTTGCCAGCCGATCGCGTAGCCAAGAAACTCATGACAAAACTTAGGATTGTCTCCCGCATCGCTGTGCAGCGGTGGCGGCAGCGCACGGGCGCCTCGGGCAGCCGCAGGTAGGCGGTGACCACGAGCTGCTCGAGGGCGCGCGAGCTCTGGACCAGACAGCCCCCCTCTCCCCTCGGGTTGTGCGCCATCCTCTCCTCTCCCCTGCCTCCTCCCTCTCCCCCCTCCTCCCTCTTCTCCCACCTCCTCCCCTCCCTCCTCCCTCTCCTCCCGCCTCCTCCTCTTCGTCCTCTCCCCCTCTCCCCCTCCCCTTCTCCCCCTCCATCCCCTTCTCCGTCTCGTCCTCGTCGCCGTCGCCGTCGCCGCCCTTTTCTAAAAAAATCGGCGTTCGGGCAAGAGGCTCCTGGGGGAGAGGAGGTTCCCCGGGGGTAGTTATTCATCTCTGGCATGTTTTTTTGACGGCCCACGGACCCCGCAAACTGCCTCCAGAAACCGAAATCGAGGAACACGTCCTCGAGCGTCGAATGCCGACGACCAATCTACGAAACGTAGACGAAAAATGATGATGCTGATGATGATGATGATGATGCTGCTGATGATGATGATGATGATGATGATGATGATGATGATAGTGGTGATGATGAGGATGATGATGATGATGATGATGATGGTAGTCTGATTATGATGATGATGGTGTTGATGATGATGACCACGACGACGACGACGAGGACGATACGATGCTGTAAAGGCTCGAAGATGGGGAATGAACGGCCTGGCCCCAAGCCAGCCTGGTGGGACCGTGGGGCCCGCGGGCCCATCCCAGAATGGGCGCCGCGGGCCTGGCGTTTGCCCGCGGCGTACGGGGAGGTCGAGTTGGACCTCCCCCCCGCCGCCTAGCGCAGGCGATGGTGGGGCGGCCACGTGGAGCCCCCTGGGCCCGCCTGGATCCGCCTCGCGCTTGAGGAGGGCGGGGAGCTCGAGTCCCTGGTGTTGTGCTGGGGCGGCCCGCAGCGCGGGTCGACCAGGGTGAAACTGGTTTGCGTTTTTTGTTTATCATTTTTGTTTGCGTGTGTGTGTGTGTGTTCAATAAAAAAAAACTTTGTTGTTGGGCGTGGTGCGGGGCGTTTGGGCGCGGGGGGAAGTCCCCCCCGCGCTTCGCCCCACAGGTCGGTGGTTTACGAGCGCCAGCGGGTGTGCGCCAGCGGGCGTGCGAGCGCCAGCGGGTAATGTGGTTCGTCGCCCCGTAGAGGTGGCCTGGGCGGGAAGAATGGCGGTGGTAACGTCGACGACAACGACGACGATGATGATGATGTTGTTGTTGTTGTTGTTGATGATGATGATGATGATGATGATGATGCTGATGATGATGATGATGATGATGATGGTGGTGATGTTAATGTTGATGATGATGATGCTGCTGATGATGATGATGATGATGATGATGATCTTCCGCCGCCTCCTCCGAGCCGATCTCAAATATCGAAATATCGATTTTGAACGTCACTGCAAAAAATGAGATATTGAAATATCAAATCTCCGGTTGTCGATATCAAAATATCGAATCTCCGGTTGTTCGAGGGCTCGGAACTTGGAAAAAAATACCGGCGATTCTTAAATTGATCCTTTGATGCTTTGGGACCATGGATCTGAGACGAAGAGCTGCGCCCAATGGGGGGGTCGGACGGGCCGCGGAGGGGAAACATCGAATCGGAGGATGTCTGGGAACCCTACCCCTGCAGGTCCAGCCGACGCTGGCGTGTCGGACACCCCCGCTGGGGCTCACCGGGCTGCGGGCATCCTCCAGACGCTGGGCCCTGGGCGGTTTTTCAGGAATCCGGCCTGCTGGGGTATGGTTCACATGGGCGGCGCAGTAGAACGGGGTCATCTGCGCGGACAGTGGCGCGCAAGCTGCCCGCAAGATCGCGCGTGAACGCCCTCGTCTCGAATGCGGCGTGCCGCGGCGGCGGCCCGCGTAAGAGCCATCGCGTCAGGGCCCTACGCCATCTCGCGCAAGACCCGTTTTTGTTGATCGTCGTTCTTCTGGTTGCCTGCCAGGGCCGCCAAAGGGGGGATTCCCCCAGCCGGGCCGGGCACCAGACGCCGAGCGCGGGCTGCTGCAGCCTCTTGGAGTCCAGCGAGATCCCGCCCGCGCAGGCCATCAGCGTGGACCTCGCGAACGAGCGCACGCTGCTGGCCTGGTGCCGTACTGGCCTGGCCGTCATCCGCACCGTGTTCTCTTTCGCGACGCTGCAGGGCCTGACGAAGGGCGCTCTGGCAGTCGACGTCCTCGTGACCGTCGTGCTCGCGTTTGCCAGCCTCGCGATGCTGCTTGTGGGGTGGCAGCGGTTCGGCGCCGTGCGGAAGGGTCAGATGGGAGATCCTGGTGTCAGGCGCGTCTCTGTGCTGCCGGTGTTCTCGATGCTCGTTACCGTGGCGGCAATAAGTTTCTTCGTCTCCATGGTGCGACAGCCCCTGAGGTTTGTTCGGGACCTGCAGGAGGTCGGGATGGACGTGATGGCATACGGCTGAGTGCATGGTGCCTGGCTCGAAGCTCACACTTGGTGGGGTTTTGGGCCAGCGCCGTACTGACTTCATGGATGCCATCAAAAAAGACCGTCACCTCTGTGTCTCATTCATCCCTTCGCCCCATCCTTCGCCCTGTGGGGGAGTCCAGTTCCTGAGGGCCATGACCTGGGGCAGAAGATCGAGGTCTTCCGATCTCCATCCTGCTTCTCCTCCTCTTGATCACCGGCACGATCGTACATCAAACATAACAGGAGCCTGACCACAACTGACAACATCGATACGCTATTGCACGAACTCTCCAACATATGCTGGGATGCAATTGCCATCAGCGAGACGTGGAGTATAGTGGAAGAAAAAATGCGGTCTACCAACGATGGTAATCATGGATTCGCAGGTGTTGGGCACCAAACACATTCACGAGGAGTTGCACCATTGATTCACAACCGTCAGTCTCGCCACATCACGCGCTTCACGCCAATCAGCGAGGATTGTTTACATTATTACGTCGTACTTCCAGCACGGAGGACACACCGACAATCTCGTGCAACAGATGCAGCACGCTCACCACGCTGTACAAAAACGCAACAACACACGGAAGGCTGACAGTTTTGACAGGCGATTTCAATGCGCAGGTTGTGATTTGTGAGCACAAGGACGACGGTTCATGTGATGATGACGACCTCGACAGATGTGACAGTATATTTGGACAGTGTGGGGTGGGAAAATGCAATAGAATGTGGACTTGGCTACGAGCTGGGGCAATTCAGGAGAAGCTTCAGATCGTGAACACACATTCTTACAATAATCCGCAATACGCGTTTGCAGGTACCAGCAACGGCTCCGATAAGATACGTTCACAGATAGATTGCATCCTCATCGAACTGGCATGTCGCAATACTGTTTTAGGCGTACGTGCGTCTGCATGTCGAGATTTTGGATACGTCCATCAACCTGTTCCTATGCGACTCGAACTGTCTAGCACCGCGATGAGGCGACGACGAAGATGTACGAAAACGAGGCACGCCCTATCTGGGCGACCACCAGCAAACGACCACATTTCCAACAGCATTTAGCAGAGTCATTGGAAACACACCCGCAGGCATCGACGGTCAGCGAGAGATGTACAGACACGGAACGAACATTGAGGACCGCAACCGAAGTTTATGAGTCCCAAGACGCCCATCCCTACGACTACCATCGAACATTCGACCACGAGCAAACCAATCAGCTCCACAGCCTCATCGCTTAACGGCGCAACACGCCACAGGAAGACACTTCGACCCGCAAAGCTATCAGCAATAATGCATTAAATGAGCCTTGGTCTCTAAAACGTGCTCGACGGCAAGAACAAATGAGGGACATCATCCAAAACTACGTAAGGCCTCAAGACGCTGGCGGGCACCAGAACGACCAAGCACAAAGACACGATAGTATCAGCAATCACTGGGCAATGCAGCAACGGCGAGACCGACAGACAAGGCCTCGCTGATGCTTCCATTGCGATTTACGAACAACGATCTGCAACGCTCTGGTAACGAACTTTCTGCGCACGGTTGCCGTCCCTGCCGCGGGAACCCGGGGGACGAAGCGAAGAACATCCAAATGAATGTTTTCACGCAGGAAGAAGTACACCAAGCATTCAAAGAGCTCAACGACGGAAAATACAGGGGCCTGGCCAGATTGCAGACATGTTCAAACCAGGCAAGGCTTTCATAGAACATTTAGAATAACACTTGCATCGTTTGTTCAATGACCCCACTCATCCAGCGCAGCTACCGCCAGAACAGGTGAGGCGCAATACCGTTACAGCGATCTGAAAATCAGGTGGCCCCAAAATGCCACAGAAGTACATACCTATAGCAATCCCCCCTCTCCTGTACAAGCTCGTGTCTCGACTCACCGCAACCGACTCGGGCCAATGTTCGATAAGCAGCAAAGAGTGGACCAGGCAGGCTTCAGGCACGGGTACAGCACCGAGAACCACTTGTTCACCGCGGCGTTCTTGCGCAACCAGTCAAACGAATGGCACTTTCCATAATGGGTTGCGGCGATTGGCTCCAAGAACGCATTTGATTGTGACAGCCACGACGCACTCTGGGAATCACTCGACGCACAGCAGGTGCTGACATCCTACATTCACCTCCCACAGGAACATCTACAACGACGAAACCGCTACGGTACGGACTGACAGTATCAGCAGAAATTTCGACATCCAACGAGCTGTGGAGCAGGGAGACAGGGAGACCCACTGAGCTCCTTACTCGTTCAATGCACTTCTTGCACACATCTTTGGACGCACCATGGACACATGGCGCAATCAACAATTTGGCATACAGGTGGGCTTTACCACGGGCACCCTCCTCACCGGCTTCCGTTCTGCCGACGACGTGTTATTATGTGTGCCGAATCTGCGCCAGGTGGAATGCTTACTACGCGACCGCTGGATCCAAGCAGCTCAAAGTTACCTGGAGCTACACCGGAAAAGCAGCTCAAAGTTACTTGGAGCTACACCGGAACAAAATAAACATACTGACCAATGCTACCCAGCGACAAGGCAAACCAATCAAGGTCGCAAACGTTGAAGAAGACAGTGCAGAGATTTTGGACGGGATGCAGAGCACGAAGTATTTGGGCAGGAAGCTTACACATCACGTTTTCCACAGCACTGGACTCGAGAGCAGAATAGTCTCGGGCTGGCGCCGGCTTCGGGTTGGCGCGGCAAGCCGCCGACGCCTTTTCAATGGGACCGTGACGCCCACCGTCATTTACGGACGCAGCTCGTGGGCCCTGGCCAAAGACATGGGCATTGCATTGCGGCGTGCACATCGGAGGATGGTCCGGATCGTCGCGGGCACCTGCCGAAGGCGCACACAGGGGAGCCACCAGAATAGCGACGAGAAGGACCTCCAAGCTAGCAGCCCCCAGTTGCAGGGGAACAACGGGACTGGACACGCGGGGCCGACGGAGATGCCGCAGAGGACAAGCCAGGCAACGACAGCAGCACCATCATCGACGATTCCGCCGGCGGTTGCAGCACCGAGAGCAACGACAGTGACCACGACGACGGCGACGGCGACGTCGACGGATGCAGCAGCGGCGACGGCAGCGGCAACAGCAACGGTGGATTAGAGCCATGGGCGCGTTTCATCCGACGATCGACGCACGTAGCCGATGCCCGTGCCAAACGCGCGCAGGTCGACGTCTGGGCTTCGCATGCTCCAATATAAAACGGAGATGGACCAGCCGAGTTGCGAGTTGACCCGCCGACCGATTGGCGAGAAGCGCCGCCACGCCGTCGGGCAACCTTCCAATGCACGATGAAAAAAACAGCCAAACGGAAACACGACGGACAGCAGAAGAGTTGGGACCACAAGATGTTCTTCTAAGTTTCAAATATGATCGACCACGACACGAGACTACCCGACGATAGTGGCCGCGAACGGTGGTTTACATTGGCATGCGATATGTCCATCTGACATGGGTTAGAAGACAAAGTCAAATAATACGCTGCAGCACGAACGCCCCGAACTGAGGGTCCCGGCCCTGCCGCGAAGTTGTCCACAGACAATTTGATAATGAATGTTGGTGCATCCACCTTCGGACTCCCCGGTCCCATTTCCTCGTCCAGATACCAATAATTCGTACCTTTCGATTTCCTTCCCGACTCCGAACGTCCACCTTCCGACTGTCAGCTTCCACCTCAATGTTTCCACCCTGGATCGGACATGTGCATTTCTCGACCCCTCACATTTCGACTTCCTCCTCCTCTCCTCCTGCTCTTCCTCTTCCTCCTCCTCATGCTCTTCCTCCTCCTCCTCCTCCTCCTCCTCATGCTCCTCCTCCACCTCCTCTTCCTCCTCCTCTTCCTTTTCCTTCTCCTCCTCCTCCTCCTGCCCTCCTCCCCTTCTCCTCGCACTACGTACCCCCATCCCGTTCCTCCGCCTCGCCCCCCCCCAGCCTCCAGATCCCCGGCTCCCTCCCCCCTCCATCTCTCCGTTCTCCCTGTTCGCGCGCGCAGGAGCTCGCGATGCCGCTGGGAGGGGCGGGGCCAGCGGGAGGGCTTGGACAACCGAAGAGGGAGGAGAATAGCAGCGGGAGGGGCTGGAAAGGAAGGAGGGAGGGTCATGCGGGAGAAGGGGATGTTTTTTTGTTTTACTCTGCAGCAGGACCAAGCAAGCTGGAGCCAGCCTGGACTGCAAGTGAAAGGTTGATCCGCCGCAGAGTGCCAGTGTACTCGTCCTGCCCCGCTCGAGGGCCGCACGTCCCGGGGGTGCGGGCACGGGAAGCTGCGCTGCGCTGCCTCGAAGCGAAGGTGGGAGGCACTGTGAGACTAGACAGTTCGCGGCCCCATCTTCGGCGGTCGTGTCGAGCTCTAGCACCGGCGTGCCTCGCTGGGCACGGAAGCTGGCGTGCTGGCGTGCTGGCGCTAGCAGGTCTGCAGGCACAGAGACTGGCGTGGCGGGCACTGGCGCAGGCTGCGGCACAGAAGCTGGCGTGCTGTTGACTGGCGTTGGCAAGTCTAGTCACTAGAAACTGGCGGGGCTGCAGCTGCTGGCGTGAGCAAGTTAAAAGGCACAGAAACTGGCGGCTCTAGGATTGGCGCTGGCTGGTCTGAGGGCACAGAAACTGGCGTGGGAACAGAAGCTGCAGGCACAGAAACTGGCGTGCTACGGACTGGCAATGCCGTGTGATTTGTTGATTTGTACGTGTTCGCATGGCCCGTGTGCGCTGAGCTGGTACCACGGCTTCCACGAGTCGCCACAGTGTTGCCAGAGATTTGTCTGCTTTCGTTCACGTTGTTCGTGGGCGTCCGCGGGGTCTTCTTCCCTGGTCCTTTTCGGCGTGGTCGTGCGCAAGTTCCTGGGCCCTGGCGCGTGAGCTGGAGGGTTTTTTCCCGGAAAGGGCTCGAGCCCAGGGTTCTCTTTTACTAGGTAAACCTGTCCCCCGGTGCCAACTTGAAGGAGGCCGGCGAATTTTTTCCCTGATAAATAACGAGCCGGCGAATTGCCGGCGAATTTTTTCCCTGATAAATAACGAGCCGGCGAATTGCCGGCGAATTTTTTCCATGATAAATAACGAGCCGGCGAATTAAAATTTGAGGATGTCTTGAGCGAAACGCTTGTTTTTGAAATCCCGATCGATAAATCACAGGGTGCGGGCCACTTTTTCGTGTGTTGAGGATATCTCGAGCGAAACGCTTGCTCCGCAGAGTTTGCCGAGGATGTCTCGAGCGAAACGCTTGTTTTGCAGAGCCGACCGCGACGCGGAAAAGCGCCCCGCGCGAAGGAATTTCGATGATGTCTCGACTAATTCCTTTGTTTTTGTAAGATTTCCTGGAATTTTGGCAGGATGTCTCGAGCGAAATGCACGACCCCACCCTAGCACGACCATACCCCAGCACGACCACACCCCAGCACGACCAGACCCCAGCACGACCCCACCCCAGCACGACCCTCCCCACCACACGACCATAACCCCAGCACACGGACCCACACCCCAAGCAAGACCCCGACCACCCCAGCACGACCCGACCCCAGCACGACCCTACCCCAGCAAGACCACACCCCAGCACGACCACACCCCAGCACGACCTCCCCCCAGCACGACCACACCCCAGCACGACCACGCCCCAGCACGACCACGCCCCAGCACGACCACGCCCCAGCACGACCACGCCCCAGCACGACCACGCCCCAGCACGTCCACCCCCCAGCACGTCCACCCCCCCAGCACGACCACCCCCCAGCACGACCACCCCCCAG